TGTTGGTGGAAGTGTAAAATGGTGCAACCACTGTGGAAGGCAGTGTGACACTTTCTCGAAAAGTTGCAAATAGAGATACCATTTGACCCAGAAATTCCACTACTGGGAATATACCCCAAGGAGACCATAACTGCCACCCAAGCAGATATATGCACACCCATGTTTATCGTGGCTTTGTTCGTGATAGCAAGGAGTCAGAAACAACCTAAATACCCATCAACAAACGAATGGATAGAGAAGTTGTGGTATACTCACACAATACAATAATACACTGCCTTGAAAATCAAGGAACTTATGCAATACTATTCAAAATGGTTGACCCTGAAGGACGTTATGCTGAGTGAAATATCTCAGTCACAAAAGAACATATACTGCGTAGTTCCACTGTTGTAAAACAGGACTGAAGTCGGGGTTGGGGAGACTCTGAGAAAGATGGGATAAATAATGTATAGTGCATTGAAACAGATGAGAGAGAAAACTGTTTAAAAGGACTATGTGATTAGGTATTATTGTCATGACAGGAGTTCAGAACAAAGGCTGCATACTGGAGTGGACCTGGGGGGAGGGATTGTAAAACAATGGGGACACTTTTCTTTTACTTTTTAAATAGAAGAGTGTACTGGTTGGGGAGAAAAGTGCAACAATGAATCAATGGAAATCCAAAGTCTCTGTAAATTTTCTTTAAAATTAATAAAAAATTTTTTTAAAAAGCTTGGAAGAACTCTAGAAGTCCTAATCCACAACATAAACAGTCTTCCAAGCACCCTGGAAAATCTACAACCAAGAGAGTATAAAATAGATGAATGGGACCTTCTAAGAATCAAAGCCCTATGCATATCCAAAAACTTCTCCAACAGGGTCGAAAGGGAAGCCTCAGACAGGGAAAAAAAAATATTTGGTAATGACATGACAGATAAGGGAATTATATCTGGAATTTATAAGATAGTCGAGAACCACAACAAGACAAAGACAAAGAACCCAATACAAAAATGGGCACAGGATATGAACACACACTTCCCCAAAGAAGACATTCAGATAGCCAACAAGCACATGAAGAAATGTTCAAAATCCCTAACTCCAAGTGAGATGCACACCAAAACAACTATGAGATATCATCTCTCCACAGTAAGAATAGCTAAATTTAACAGAACAGCAAATATCAAATGCTGTTGAGATTGAGGAGAAACTGGAACCCTTCCTCATTCACCGTTGGTGGGAATGTAGAATGGTGCAACTACTATGGAAGGCTGTATGGCACTTTCTTAAAAAGTTGCAAATAGAGATAACATTTCACACAGCATTTCCCTTCCTGAGAATTTACCTTAAAGAAATCATAACTGCTACCCAAGCAGATATATGCACACCCATCTTTATTATGGCTTTGTTCATAATAGCAAAGAGCTGGAAACAACCCAAGTGCCCATCAACAAACGAATGGATAGAGAAGCTCTGGTATATTCACACAATGGAATACTATGCAGCATTGAAAAACAAGGAACTCATAAAATATTATGCAAAATGGATGACCCTGGGGGACATTATGCTGAATGAAATATCTGAGCCATAAAAGAACAAATATTGCATAGGGTTACTGTTGTAAAATTGGACTAATATCGGGGTTGAGGGAATACAGAGAAGGATGGGAAGAATGATGTATACTGCCTTGAAACAGATGAGGGAAAGAACTGTTTAAAAAGGATATATGATTGGGTATTATTGTCATGACAGGAGTCCAGCATGAAGGATGCACAATGGAATGGACTTGGGGGGAGGGTTTGCATAACAATAATAGAGTTTTTCTTTTACTTTTAAAGGAGAAGGGTGAATTGTGGGGGAGGGGGTCGGCAGGGAGAAAAGTGCAACAATGAATGACTGGAAACCCTAAGTCTCTGTAAACTTTTATTAAAATTAATAAAAAAAAATTGGAGAGGATATGTGGAAAATAGTTGATAAAATAAATAAAGTACAATGTTCATTATAGAATTAAGGTGATGAATAATTAATTGGGTTATTGTTGTTTTTGTTATGTGCCATTGAGCCATGATTCATAGCACCCCTATGAGCAGAAGATCAGAACCTTGCCCTATATTACACCATCCTCAAGATTGTCCCATGCTTGAGAATGTATTGTTGCAGTCTCTGTGTATAGTTGAGTAGCTACTGTAGAATTCATTACTTTTTTCTTTGTTTGAAAATCGTCATATTAAATGTTTGTGTGAATACGTGAAAGAAAAAATATTATAACCTGGTGTCCTCCGTAGAACTCTAAAGTCCTCTTTACTATTTTTCTTCACCACCGACCCCCCCCCCAGCTTCTTCTTGTTATGTACTGTCAAGTTGGAATCAACCCTCCAGTGTGTTTTCAGAGGCAGTTTATCATAGAGGAGATGATTACCTTTTTCAAGTAGAACAGCTGGTGGATCCAAACCAAATGCCTTTAGGTTGGCAATTCAACCTTTCCACTAATCTACCAGATCTCCCTAGCATTCATTTTTCCATAGCATTTATTACCAAATAAGGAGAACTTGTAGGATAGTGATTAAAGTGCTTGGCTGCTAACCAAAAAATTGGTGTTCAAACCTACCAACAGCTTTGTAGGAGAAAGACATGGGAGTCTGCTTCTGCAAAGATTTATGGAGCTGTGAGAAATTTCAACTCTGTTTTATAAGTTCACTCACTATGAGTGACAATTTATTTGATGGCTGTGGATTTAGTCTGGGTATGGTTTCATTGCCATTTGTTGTTGTTGCTGTCCTCATTTTAGTCTCTCTACTTTCTAGTAAGTGCCACAGAAGTTTTGTTCTCTTTGTTGTCACATCCTTAGATTCTAGAACAAGGTGTGGCAAATAACATAATCAAAGAATCTTTATCTCTTGTACATATGTCAAGATCTTGTGTACAGTAAGTATTCAAGGAATGTTTGTTCAATTGAACTGAGATCCAAGTTCTGCAAGAGAACTTGGAATAAGACTTTTATAATGGTTCTGGAGACAGAGTTCATAGGGAATTGCACTGCTAATCCAAAATTGGCGCCTCTCTGATGGTCTGAAAGGACCAGTGACTCCAGAGTGAAAATATGGGCAAAATCCTGTGTGATTTATATAATCTGAAAAACTACTGTAAGGTCAGCTATTGGACAGCAGTGAATTTTGTGGTTTGTTTTTACTACAGTGATTTGATTCCGTTGCTTCCTAGCTAGGTTAACTTCTCTGAGTCTTAATTTCTCCTTTGTAAGATTAAAAGAATAATAGTATGCTCTTAGCAGACTTTTTCTGGTGGGAAAGCACCTAGGACTTTATAAAGACACAAAACTTGGTAGCTCAAAAGAAAACAAAAGATAGATCCTTCCTGCAATGTTGCTTCATCTTCCAATGTACTAAACCAGGAGAGACTGAGGAGATACCTTTGAGCAAATATCCCTAAGTTTTCTAGATTTACAAGCTGGTTTCTCTCTTTTTCGGGTATTTACTTTCCTCCTGTCCTGGACTTTTTTCTTCTTTGTATCCTGAAACTTTTCCCCTCTACCAAGGACCATTTGGGAACCAAGTTGAGGAGATAGGGGCCTGTGGATCAGTGACAAGATTTTACTGCTTTCTTTCCCCCTCTTATCTAGAGCTAAATTCCTTAATTATTAAGAAAGGCCAAGTGTAAATTTGTAGTAATTTCAGGACCTAGAGGTTTAGAGACCAATAGTCCTGAAAAGGAAGCATTAGCAGGAGAACTAGCCTTGCATACTGCCCTCATCCTTGATCTCCTGTAAAAGGAACTAGTGCTTCCTTCACCTTGCTCCTAAATCTCTTCAGTCTATTTTGCTGCCTAAAATCTTAACTTCTATGGACTCTTGCTCAGAGCAATCCCTGGGATTAATTGAATAGTTCCCTGTAATTCTCTCTTAGAAGTGGGTCGGAAAACAACTAGGAGATATCATCTCACTCCAGTAAGAACAACAAATGCTGGTGAGGTTGTGGAGAAACTGGAACCCTTATTCACTGTTGGTGGAAGTGTAAAATGGTGCAACCACTGTGGAAGGCGGTGTGACACTTTCTCAAAAAGTTGCAAACCATTTGACCCAGCAATTCCACTACTGGGAAGAGACCATAACCGCCACCCAAGCAGATATATGCACACCCATTTTTATTGCAGCTTTGTTCACAATAGCAAGGAGTTGGAAACAATCTAAATGCCCATCAACAAACGAATGGATAGAGAAGATTTAGTATATTCACACAATGGAATACTACGCTGCTTTGAAAAACAAGGAAATCATGCAATATTATTCAAAATGCCTGACCCTGGAGGACATTATGCTGAGTGAAATATCTCAGTCACAAAACGACAAATACTGCATGGTGCCACTGTTGTAAAACAGGACTGACCTCAGGGTTGGGGGGAGACTGAGAAAGATGGGATAAATAATGTATACTGCATTGAAACAGATGAGGGAGAAAACGGTTTAAAAGGGATATGTGATTAGGCATTTTCATCATGACAGGAGTCCAGAATGAATGCTGCCTAGTGGAGTGGACCTGGGGGGAGGGATTGTAAAACAATGAAATAATTTTTCCTTTACTTTTCAAAGAGAAGAGTGTACTGGTGGGGGAGAGGTGGGCAGGGAGAAAAGTGCAACAATGAATGAATGGAAATCCAAAGTCTCTGAAAATTTTAATTGAAATTAATAATAAAAAAATAAAAAAAAGAAGTGGGTCGGGTGGAGGATGGGCTGAAGCTGAAAGTACAGATATAGGGTATTAAATTATTCTATCGTCTAAGCCCCCTGCCCCCAACCTATGATCGGTGGTAGTCTTAAAATTCAGGAAGCTAGGAGCTGATACTGGGGGCGACATTGCTTCTGTTCCTTTAAGAAGCCACTGTTTAGCGTTCCTGCAGCTGCTACCACCACTGCTGCGCCCGACTCTGCACTCTGATTGGCTGGAATCAACAGAGAAGGGAGCCAGAGAGAGAGAGATGTTCTTGACTCCACTCAGCTCCATCCTGGGGACCAAAGCAGAAACGGTCAGGTCCTCGCAGCATTGTACCTCTGCTCAGGCTACTACTTCTTCATCACCGCTGGGCCTGGGCCCAGGAGCCACCACAGGCGACACGGAGCCACCAGTGCTGGAGGGGGAGCCGTGGGTGCGAGGCAGCGTTGGGGCAGAGGCCCCAGGACGCCCGCCTGGCCCCAGGCCTCGCTCTGCTAGGGTCCCCCCACGGGTACCCCCCCCTTCCTGGTCTGAGCATTGTGAGTGTGCCCGGGAGTCTGGCAGCAGTGGCAACGTGGAAACCGGCGTGGGCTGGGGAGTTCGAGCTACAGGGGGCAGTGTCATGCACAAGCATCAGCACTGCTGTAAATGCCCTGAATGCTATGAGGTGACCCGCCTGGCAGCCCTACGGCGCCTCGAGCCTCCTGGCTATGGAGACTGGCAAGTGCCGGATCCCTATGGTCCAGGGGGGAGCAATGGGGCCAGCACAAGTTATGGAGGCTACAGTTCCCAGACCCTTCCCTCACAGGCGGGAGCCACGCCAACTCCTCGCACCAAGGCCAAGCTCATCCCCACTGGTCGGGATGTAGGACCAGTGCCACCTAAGCCAGTCCCAGTCAAGAGCACCTCCAAACTCAACGGCAGTGGCCCCAGCTGGTGGCCGGAGTGCACCTGTACCAACCGGGACTGGTATGAACAGGTATGGACCAGCGGAATGGGAATAGAAGGGCGACCCATGAGTATTGGGGAATGGTGACCTAGAGGCTTGGGTGCAATAGAAGTGTGGACCCTAAGCCCTAGCATTGCAGCTAGGCAAGGAGAGGTGGTTGGAAATGTGATTCTCTCTCTTATCCTCTCTTTCTCTGTGTGTACCTGTGTGTGCATTTGGAGGGGATTGTGAGGCACATGTGTCAGGGAACAGAGGTATCAGAGGGGCAATTTTTTATGTGTGGGGAAATTGGATTTGTCTTAGTGTAGGGGTTCAGCAGTGCCTCTGTGTCTGGTAAGGGTTGGGAGGTTCTTGGGGACTGTATGTGGTATTTGTCTCCACAAGGAAAGAGGAGGGGGCATGGTGCCCTGCATAGGGGAAATTTATATATGTTATGTTGAAATGTGTAGAGGAAGGCAATGGAACTTCTGTGAAGCAATGTAGAGGAGCCCATGTGCCTGGCTTGCTGAGCCTCATTCCTTGATACCATGAATCCTTTTTCCCTCCCAATCCCTTTGTGTGTGAATTTGCACATAGATATGTGGGATGTATCTCTGGATGTGGAGGTGTCTCTGTAGATAAGGCTGTGGGGGTATAGATGTGTTTGCCTGTGTGCATTGTTACTTGCATAATTGTGAGTGTGAGTGTGTGTGTGTGTGTGTGTGTGTGTGTGTGTGTGTGTATACGGTGTCCCTGGTGAAAGGCACCTGCCAGGCAGGAGAGGAGAGGAAGAGATGAGAGGCACATTCTAAGCAAAGCTGATGGATTACTGAGGACACTCTTTTGTTCAAATATCTCTGAAGTGTTTGCATGTTGCAGGAAGGTGTACTGAAGCAAGCTCCTTTGATCCAAACCAAGGATGGTGCCTGGAGCCAGGAAAAGGGAAGCTGCCCTGGTGCAGGGACTAGTCCTAGTGGAACATCTCTCCCTTGGATACCCCTTTATGCGAGGAAGCTTGGCCCCCTAACCTGACTTGGTTCAGACTGTGAGCCCCCTGGGTACCAGTTATAATTCCGGTTTCCACTCCCAGCCTAGAAAATGCCAGCTTAGAAAATGGAAGATGCATCTGTGGGAGAAGCAGCAAAATGGAGGCTGGGCTGGCAAAGCAAGGTCCCTGGTATATAATGTGAAGGGTTTGTCTAGTTATCTGCCCCTGTAGCCTCCAGGATGGAGAGAGAAAAGAAGGAGGCTTTGAGGTCAAGGGCAGGTGCTGACTGCCCCAAGCTGGTGGTCATTCTGGCTATACTCCATCCTCCTCTGGGAGTAGGATGTGTTCTTGCTTGAGAACTAAGGTGGGGACTTCCTGGGGAAGGGAGTCCTCAATTCTGGCCTTCTGTCTGTCTACACTTTGTATATCCCATGTCTCTTGTCTTAGTACTTCACCTTTTCCAGGAAATCTTCTCTCCCTCTTTTACCTTTCTGCCCTGGAGCACTCCCCTAGAAAATACTCTCTAATGTTTGTTCAGCTGAGAAACAGGTGCCAGTCCCAGCATGGGTTAGTTGGTTAATGTTCCTTTGCCAAGGCTGATCTCTGGATGGTGCCTGCTCTTAGGAACAGTGTACTTGAGTGGAGAATGGGCTGGTAGGAGCCTCTGGGTTCCACTGAAGCTGGACTTGAGTCATGGACTGTCAGATGTGGGTACGAATGTAACAAGAGTCACGTATGTGTCCTTTGACTTGTTTGTTTGTGACTTCATGTAGTTTTGGTTGTAGGGGATGGTCATCAGTTCTTCCTTTTGGGATTAGAGACCAGGATGGGATTGCAGATGGAGTCCTCCTGCCAATTATCAGGATTTCAGAGCATAAAATCCTTGGAACAGGCTCAGAAATAGTAGAGGCATGACAAACTATTCCTCTTTGTCCCTCCTGGTTTTATGTATGTTTGTCTGTGGAGCTTCTCCGCCCCCCCTTCTTCATAAAGTCAAAGCTTCACGGGGTGGAAGTGGAAGAGAGAATAGAGTAGGCACACTGAGAAACCCTTGCCCACAGTTTTCAGCTTTCTTTTCTGAGAGGAAACCAGAGGGAAAGAAAAGGCAAAAGCCACTGTAGGAAGAGAAATATAAGAATAGGGGATGCTACAGTGCCTGGGGAAAGATACAAGACAGCTACTAGTGATGAGAATAGGAGCCAGGGAGCAGATGCTACCTGTCTGTCCAGAATCACATTTTCATTTGACAAATAACCATGTGTGCAATTTATATATGAGGCCACCTCTGTGAGTTGATCAGAACAATTCACTATTTTCAACTCCTTTCCTTGCCACTCCTTCCTTGACATGTTGAAGGTCACAGGCCCTCTTCCAATCAGTTTCTCCCTCATGAAGAACATGAAGAATCTTATCCATTCTGTTCCTGTCCCTCCCTGACTTTGCCTCTGACTCTTGACTTGATCCTAGCTAGGCTTTTTATTCTGTGAAATATGAAGGGTAATGATAAAAAAATAATTATAGAGAATTCCCATTTGAGGAAAAGGGTTACTAGGGGCACAGAAAGAAGTATCAAATGAGAGATCATGCAATACTTTGAAGGAGGAAACTTTTCACTTTCTTGTGAGCTTTGCTGGAGGAAGGGATATATGTGAGCAAAACTTTAGTAGCTTTGTCAGCTTTCTTTAGTCAAAAGAGCACCTGGACAACTAGATTCTAGCCCCTGCTCTACCACTAATTCCCAACGTACCCTTAGACACCTCTCGTATCCTCTATGGGCCTCATCTGTAACACTAGGGAGTGTGAACAAGATAGTGTTTGCTGCTCTTCTAGCTTTGATGTGGTAAGGTTCTATGATCTTCAAGTCAGGGAGAATTGTGGTTCAGAATGGTAGAGAAAGTCTCTGTCCAAGTCACTGAGTGCCCTCCTATAGATACTACATATGGCATGACTTGTTCACCACGCTCTATCTCTGCCATCCCTCTCAGGCCATCCTTGAACCCATCCTAGTGAACCCTGAGGCTCAGTGAATGTACAGTGGCCAACTCAGCCCCAGACAGTTGAGCTTCCAAACAGGCAGGTTTGGCTTGCTGTGGCTGGAAGCAAGGGCGGGGGGAGGTAGTGTCTTCCTTGGGACTAGCCTGTTTCTATGTATGACCCATAGGTGTCCTGGGGTAGATTTCAGCTTTTCTATTCTATGAGGGTTGGGGTGGGGTGAAGGCAGTTTAGCCAAAGACAAATGGCTAAAGGGTTGGGACGCACTCAGGGAACTGCTTATGTCTTTCCCTAGGTGAATGGCAGTGACGGGATGTTCAAATATGAGGAGATAGTACTTGAACGGGTAAGTTGGCCAGTGGGGAGAGAAAATGAAGGGAAAGAAGGATGCAAACTAGGAAAAGGGAGGTCTCTGATTCTTGGTTTCAAGACTTATAGCAGAACCTGCATCAAGAGGCTAGAGAAACAGAGATTGAATCACTACATAAATTAATCAACCTAACAATTATTAACTGACTTTGCTCATTGAGGCCTGGGGAACTGGGTAGGGAATGCCAAAGCTTCCATCCCAAAATGAATAACATAAGTTGTTCATCTAGTTTCTGACCAATGTAATCCTGTCTGCCATGGCCTTTCTGAGGCCTGGAGAACCTCCCCTAGGAAGTAGGGGGAGATGGGTCCCTCTTTGCTTTCTGAATGAAGAGACCCTCTATTCCCTTCTATAGGGCAACTCTGGCTTGGGCTTCAGCATCGCAGGTGGCATCGACAACCCCCATGTCCCTGATGACCCTGGCATCTTCATTACCAAGATCATACCTGGTGGAGCTGCTGCTATGGATGGGAGGCTGGGGTGAGATGGTCTGAAAGCAGGGTAGAGGCAGCAGGGACAGGCTGCAATGAGGGGTGGAAGGGCCATCTGGCAGAGGACCTCTCCATCAGATCTGGGAGGGGGAGGAACAGTGGGAGGTGTAGGACTGAAGAGAGAGGGAAGGGGATGTTGAGAGGAGAGAGGTGGAGAGAAGGGGGAAAGGTAGGAGAGGGGATAGAGAGGCGGTGGTACAATGTAATTAATGCCTCTTGGTTTCCTCTGCAGGGTGAATGACTGTGTGCTGCGGGTGAATGAGGTGGATGTGTCAGAGGTGGCGCATAGCCGAGCTGTGGAGGCGCTGAAGGAGGCAGGCCCTGTGGTGCGGTTGGTGGTGCGGAGGCGACAGCCCCCACCTGAAACCATCATGGAAGTCAACCTGCTCAAAGGGCCCAAAGGTGCGGCTGTCTGAGTTCCTATGTTCTGTTCAGAGCTCCTGGCGATGCATCTTGGCTGATCCCATAGGAAGTGAAAGGGAATAACCTTAACCCTTACCTGTTCCCCTATTCCAACTCACAACTGTCTTTCTTGGTCTCAAGTCTCACCTTTACTAAAGTTTGAGACCCTTGAAGGAGCTCCTGTGAGTTCAATGAGTTGGCTGGAGGGGGTAGTGTAAGATTTTTGATTGAACGAGCTCTCTAACCTCTTCTTGTGTCATCTTCCTACTCCCTGTTGGCTCCTACTCAGGCCTGGGCTTCAGCATTGCTGGGGGCATTGGAAACCAGCACATCCCAGGAGATAACAGCATCTACATAACCAAGATCATTGAGGGAGGTGCTGCCCAGAAAGATGGACGCCTGCAGATTGGGGACAGGCTGCTGGCAGTAAGACAACCTTCACTATTACGTCTAAATGATAGGGTGAGGAGGTGGAGTTCCAGCATCCTCTTACTCCACCTGAACCTCACTTAGGGACTAGGCATCATGAGGGATTTTAAGAATATCATCTGTATCATGGTTCCCTAAACCCCAATACTTAGTTCTTTCTGTGGATGATAAGGTGGGAGCTCTCTACCTCCTACTTCTCTGCTCCTTATATCACTTTACTTGGACTTCTATTAGATCACTGTTGAATTTCATTCAAAGGGCATGCCTTATGGTTCCCTAGAGAGACCTTACCCTCTCCAGAAGCTAGCCTTATACCTTGTCTTCTAGGTGAACAATACCAATCTACAGGATGTGAGGCATGAGGAAGCTGTGGCCTCACTGAAGAATACTTCTGATATGGTCTATCTGAAGGTGGCCAAGCCAGGCAACCTCCACCTCAACGACATGTATGCACCCCCAGACTACGCCAGCAGTATGTACCATCCAACTCTCTCAGTGACTTGAAGACTTTGCCCCTTAGGTTTTGGAGGTGAAGAAATTAATACCCATAAAAAGTTGTAGCAGAGGATTAGTGCTTAAAAAACAGTTCCAATTCCACCTAGGTCTGTCTCATATAGCCTGGTGAATTTGGACAAGTCTTTTCACCTGGCTTTCATTTTCTTTTTGGCAAACAGGAGTTAATGATATATGCCCTGCTTTCTTTGTAGGACTCCTACAAAGATCAAATAAGTTAATAGACAAGAAAACCCTTAAAAAACTGTATGAGGCTATAGAGATATGAAGCATTATTATTTTTCATATTTCTAGCCATGCTTTTCTTTGTAGATTGCCTTAACTTCAGCTCTAAAACTCGCAGGAATGAGCCTAGGACTCAGAAAGAGACTGTGAAGGAGGATCCTTGAGTTGGGGGTGGGGATAGGGATGAGGGTGGGTGGGGTGGGAGTGAAGAAGAGAAGCTTGAGGAATTGGCATCCCTTTGTGTCCTTTGAAAGAAGCTTTGGTGACTTAATGGTAAAGAGTTGTACTGCCAACCCAAAGGTATGTGGTTTGAATCCACCAGCTGCTCTGTAGAAGAAAGATGGAGAGTCTCCTTTTGAGTGATTTACTGCCTCTGAAAACCCACTGGAGGGCCAGCTCTGAGTCCATTCTGACTTGATGGTATATAACAACATAATTGTCATTTGAAGGGAGCTCTGGTAGCCTAATGGAGAGGGAGTTGGGTTTCAAACCCAAAGGCGCCAGCTACTCCAAATCCACCAGGGGGCTCTTTGGAGTGAAGGATTGTGAGGAAAATAGTCAATCTCCTCCCATGCAATTTACAGCCTCTGAAAACCTGCTGGAGGGTCAGCTAGGAGTCAGCTCCCACTGGAGGGAAAATAACAAGTGTCTTTTGGACTTGAGATGAAGTGTGAGGAAAAGTCCTTGAAGGAAAAGGGGGTAGACTGCATGGAACAATCTCTGAACTTTCCTTTTCTTGATTCTAGCTTTTACTACCTTGGCTGACAACCACATAAGCCATAATTCCAGCCTGGGTTACCTCGGGGCTGTGGAGAGCAAGGTCAGTTATACTGCTCCTCCCCAGGTTCCTCCAGCCCGTTATTCTCCTATTCCCAGACACATATTGGCCGAGGAGGACTTCACTAGGTAAGATCCCACCTTCAATTCCTCCTACCTCAGGATGGAGGAGGAAAAGAATAAGTTTCTAGTCATCCACAGGCATCATTATAGTATGTAAAAAAAGATAAGGTCCTCATCACTCCTAACTGTGGGTCTGAGGCCCTCACTTAGTCCTTGGGCCCTAGGAAGGGACTGAGTTAGCAGCAGGGACAAATTCTGCTTATAGGTGGTCAGGGGCAGGGGGGTGCTGAGTGTGTGACTCCCAAATTTGAATGTGGAGAGAAAGGGCAAGGTTGAGTTGCTAAGGAACTGAGGAATTGGGGGCTATAGGGTTTCTTGCCCAGAGTTAGTTGCAATCCTCCCTATTACGTTCACTTCAAATGAGAAGAAAGTAGTTTAGCCTATGGGGCTGGCAAGTCTGGAGGCCTCTTAGTCCTACCCCACTCCAATGGTGGCTGCTGAGGCAGTGGCAGCTGTGGAACGGGTCAGGCAGGCCAGGATTCTGGGGGAGAAGTTTGAAGCCTGATAGATTGCTGGGCAGACTGCCTTGGAGCTTGGATGGGTAGGAAGACAGGATAAAGCCTGAGGAGTCATGATAAGGGCATACAAATTTTCAGGCTCTGGCTTGACCCTGGACTTAATCTACCTCAGCCTCAGCCTAGGTCTTGCCACTTTGCTACCTACAATCTGAAAGGGATACAAGGTAGGAGGAGTGAAGGATTGTGAGGAAAAGCATTTGGAACTCCAGGACAGACCCTCCCAACCATGAAGGAAGTGAGAAGGGAAATCTTGGATTTGGGACTCCTTTGATGAAAGAGGCTTACAAAAAGTGGAGATGGTGGACCAGGGGAATGGACTGGGAGTCAGGTTGTCTGGATATAAACTTGTGGCTACGTATTCATCTACTTGCTCTCACCTGATACCTCAGTGACCATATACAGAGGGGGTTTTTTTAGTTTTATTTTGCATGTGATTGTTTTCCCTTCAGTTAGGCTCTGAAGTTCCATATGGGGACCTAGTATTTATCTTAGTCTCCACATCACAAAAAAGGGTACATGGTGGTAGCTGGTAAATAAATATACTTATTTATTTAGGAGGGCTCATATTTTAGTGGGTAGAATTTTGAGATGGTGAAGAAGAATGTGTAAGCACACTAACTGGCAGCACAGGAAAAACCACCAAAGTAGGTTCTAAGATTTAGTCTCTAGAGCTAATGGCAAAGATTTGTTCCTGGGAGAGGGTAAGGGTCTAGGAAAATTACTCTAAATCCTCAGAAAAACCCAACCCAACCCACTGCTGTCTAGTTGATTCAGATTCATGGTTTCTGGAGCTGTAAATCCTGATGAAAGATTACCCAGCTTTCTCCTGAGGAACAACTGATTTAAATTGCTAGAGGGAGGAAGACTTATTAACAACCTGCAATATGCAGATGACACAACCTTGCTTGCTGAAACTGAGGAGGACCTGAAGTGCTTACCGCAGAGGGTCCAGGACTGTAGCCTTCAATAGAGATTGAAGCTCAGTATCAAGAAAACAAAGATTATCACCACTTTTGGCACCACAATTGGCAGCATCATGACAGACGGTGAAGAGACTGAGATTGTTAACAGCTTCAGTTTGTTTGGCTCCACAAACAACATTCTTGATACAAGCAGCCAGGAAATTAGAAGATGAATTGCATTGAGAAAGTCTGCTGCCAGGGACCTCTCCAGAGTACTGAAGAGCAAGTGTCAGTCTAGAGACTAAGGTGTGCCTGATCCAGGTCATAGTCTTCACAATTACTTGCTATGCATCAGCATAAGAAAGCTGGACAATGACTAGGGATGATAGGAGAATAGATGGTTTTGAGCTGTGGTGCTGGAGAAGAGTATTGAATAGACCACAAAGAGAACAAACAGGTTCGTCCTGGAGAGGGTGAAGGAACAGCACAGGAGAGAGGACCCTCAATGAGATGGATTGACTCAGCGATTGGGTTAATGGGGGTAGATGTGTCAGAGACAATATAAGATTAGCTCAGAATAGAGCAGGATTCAGAGCCGTTGTACATAGGGTCATTATAGTTGCAAGCAACTCAATAGCACATAACAACAACTGTTTAGTTAGCACAACATCTAATCAATTATGGCATCAGGACTTCTTACGGTCTTAAGAAGGAGGGAGAGAAAAGAATTGAAACTTGGCACTTAGCAGAAAACCACAGCCAAGCACATTTCAGAAAAGGACAGCGGAAACAATATGTTTCATAGGGACTCAAGTATGTCCTTGTTATAAACTTGTCCACACATTAACAATAGTTTACATCTACATTGTCCCTGTCCTTCCACTCCTTTTCTCCAGAGAACCTCGCAAGATCATCCTGCACAAGGGCTCCACAGGCCTGGGCTTCAACATTGTAGGAGGAGAGGATGGAGAAGGCATTTTTGTCTCCTTCATTCTGGCAGGAGGCCCAGCTGACCTGAGTGGAGAGTTGCGGAGGGGAGACCGGATCTTATCGGTGAGGAGACGATAGAGTGGTGGAAAGCTGGGAGTTACGCTAAGTTTGAAAGAGAGGAGAGGAGACCATATTTTATTTTCTCTAAAGACTGTTTCTTGAGATGGAGTAAGGGCATGAACTGGAGAAAACTTACATTATTTTACATATTAGTGAGGGACAAGGAACAGTATCAGGCTCACCATTAAGAAAACAAGTATCTCTTGCTTCTTAACCCTGATAGGTACTTGAGCGACACAAAAATAATGATAGGTAGTCTTCAACTTACCTCTTGATGAGCTGCTCTTAGAACTATCTGGGTTTTTATTGTTGATTTGTTGGTTGTTTTTGTGTTGGGTCTACGATTAAGTTAGTAGACCAGTATTGATCACTGTCAGTGTTGAAAGTCAAAATGGCAATTCTAAGTTGGACAATGTTCAACACTATTGATATACAATTGAATTTTGCAGGTGTCAAAAAGCCATTCAGACTCTAATGTCATTGACACATTGATGCTGACTTCATCATGTTGTTGTATGTTGTCAAGTCAGAACCGACTCATAGATGACCCTCCAGCAGGTTTTCAGAGGCAGGAAATCACACAGGAAAGATTGCCTATCCTTCTCCAGCAAAGCAGCTGGTAGATTTGAACCATGTGCATTTGGTATTGCAGCGCAGGCATATTAAAAAACCCTGAAACAACTGCTGTTGAGTTGACTCATAGCAGTCTTCCATGGGGTTTCCTATATCTGTAAATCTTTATGGGAGCAGTTTGCCAATCTTTCTCCCAAGGAGAAAGATTCAAACAGCTGACCTTTTGGTTATCAGCCTGATATGTTACAAACCGTGCCACAAGGGCTTCTTTGAATAGTCCTATAGCAGAAGAAGATTGATGCTTTTGAATTGTGATGTTGGAGTACTGACTATTCTTAGAGGCAAGGATGATACTTCATCGTATACTCTGGACATGTTGTCAGGAGGGGCCGATCCTTGGATAAGGATATCATTCTGGGAATGTTGGAGGGTCAGAAGAACAGAGGAATACCCTCAATGAGATGGATTGACATAGTGACTGTAACATTGGGCTAGAGCATATTGGAGATCATGATGATGGAAAGTTTGGATCTCTTGTTCATAGGGTAATTATGAGTTATAGTTGATTTGGTGTCACATAAGAACAGTATAGCATGATCATATTGAGTGTTTTCTATGATCAGAAATATCAGTTTTTAATTTGAAACAAAGTTGTTAAAGTTTCTTATACTGTAATACCTACACTGCTTATTTTCCCAGTAATATGTCTAGCAAAAGAAGTCATGCCACTATATCTTCAAATCCAAAAAAGAAGGTGAGGAGGGCTCTAGGCATAAAGATTATTAAAGCTTATGCCTATAAGAAGGGGGTTCTAGTGGCTTAAGGGTAAGAATCCACTCTCTAATCCTGAAGGCACATGGTTCAAATACACCAGCTCCTCAGAGGGAGAAGGATAGGCAATCTCCCATGTGATTACTCTGGAGGGTCAGCTATGGGTCAGTTCCAACTCGATGGTACACAACAACATAATAGGAAGGAAAGTCAATGAAATATATGTTATGTATTAAAATTTATGTATAAGTTTGTTTTTGATCTGTAATGTTTCTAATATCCAAAGTCAAATACTGATGATAAAAGGCAATAATAATGAAAACTTTAAAAATGGAAGCATTCTACTTATATGAAAACCAATTTATAATGGAGTCTTTGGGATGTATGTCAGAGATTACTTGTATAGCATAGAAAATGTTATATCCTTTAGTGCTCTCTCCATAGTGAGAAAGACATTCCCATAGAATTAAAGATGGGCTACCTATCTCACTCTCCTCACTAATAGGCAAGAGGACTCCTTTCTTGCTTTGTGAATAGCTTATAGTTTCTCTCTTCATACAGGTGAATGGAGTAAACCTGAGGAATGCAACTCATGAACAAGCTGCAGCTGCTCTGAAACGGGCTGGCCAATCAGTCACCATTGTGGCCCAGTATAGGCCTGAAGGTAGGAGAAGGGAGGGTAGGAAGAGATGATTTGGGGAGTTTATATTTCTACTAGGAAGCTCTCGTGGCTTAATGGTAGGGAATGGTATTGCTAACACAAAGGAATAATACGATTTGAATCCATTAGCTGCTCCATAAGAGAAAGATGGATGATCTCCCATGCAATTTACTGCCTTTGAAAACCCACTGGAGGGTCAGCTATGGGTGGGTTTCCCATTCAGTGGTACACAAGAAAAACACATTTCTACTAAGGAATGCTGGTGGCCTAGTGGTAAGGAGTTGCACTGCCAACCCAAAGACTTGAGGTTCGAATCTACCAGTTGCGCAGTGGGAGAAAGAGGGCACTCTCCCATGTGAGTTACTGCCTCTGAAAACTTGTTGGAAGTCACTTATGAGTCTGTTCCAACTGGACGGGACATAACAACAACATGCTCTACCAAATATAACACAGCTATTTGACCAGGTCCTGTCTACCCAAATGCACTGATCTCTTCCTCTCTTGTTTTCATTCTGGACAGAGAGGTTGGTTGAGTCACCTTGAGAGCATCAATCAGGCTGTGCGTAGAGCCTACTGATCAAGGTTGCAGTTCAGTTCAGCAGAAGGACAGCAGTAGGCAGGAGCCTACGGAAGTTAAGCGTAGAGATTGGGCAGGTTGGAAATAGAAGAGGGAGATGCAGAGCTCAGAGACTAAAATCCTGAACTCTTTGCCCTGGAATAGAAGAGGGGTAGCTATTATTGGTTAGTAGGACCTCTGCTGTCAGCAATCTCTCCAAAGTACTGAAGAATAACAATATCAGTCTGTAGAAGACAAATATTCTCACCACTGGACCAATTGGCAGTGTCAGGATGGATGGCGAAGAGATTGAGATTGTACACAGCTTTAGTTTGCTTGGCTTCATAGTCAACAGTCTTGGCACCAGCAGTCAGGAAATCAAAAAGCGTATCGCAATGGGAAAGTCTGCTGTTAGGGACCTCTCTAAAGTATTCAGGAGCAACGGTGTCT